ATTCCGTTCGCTGCTGACTCACACCTTGTGCGCCTGTGACATTGTTGTAGATTGTGTATAGCCCAACGGACTATCAATTTTTATCGTGTTTATACCATTTTTATGAAGCCTTAGTCCCTACCCTTACACCAAACATTGTAACGTTGTAACGTTGTGTCTTTTCCTTATTCCTGCCTTTCCTCGCTTGTGTCTCTTTCCGATGCGATTTCTGCTCTCCCTCACTCCGCCCTAACCACTGCTCACACCTGTATGAATGGCTGCCCGGAACCTGCTTCCCCACCTCTGATAACGCGCTTTCCTGCCTCCTGAATGTCCTCTCGCTGTCCTTCCTGCTCCTCCCTCCCGAGTGGTCTTTCTGCTTCATGCTTCTGTGTGTATTTCCTACGCTCGCTTTTCTTCCATATTGTCCTCCCCCACACACCCCACCCCCCCCTCGTGCTGAATTCCGAGCGCCCATCCCTTCCCCCCCCCCGCCCACCTCCCCGCCCCGCCCCGCCCGTGCCCCAGTGCCAACCTCCGTCCGTCGCCGCAGGTACACGGACGGGACGCAGATCAACTACGCCTGCGACGCGACCCTGACCAGCGAGAACTACACGTGGATGATCAGCTGCCAGGACGGGGTCTGGGACGGCGAGCCGCCCGTCTACATGCCCTGCGGCGACGGCGTCCCTCCGGTCATCGACTTCGGCAACATCTCCTGCATCTGGAGGAAGACGGAGCCCAACGTGGTCACCTTCTACAACGACCAGGAAGTCACGGAGGAGATGGTCGAGTTCGAGCCCGGAGCTAAGCTGGCAAGTTCTCGGTGGTCTCCTTGTCCTCCTCCTCCTTCCTAGCGCCCGCCCTTCGTCTTAACATGCCTTCTGTGCATCTCCCGATTTTCGAGAGCAATGCGAACGGCGTCGTGTGCAGGAACCACTTGCTAATATTGGGAATCATAGTACGAATGCCTGTTTATAAGTTTGTGTTAATACTAACGCTTAAGAGAAATATATTAAGCATTAATTGCGTGCGTTTACAGGTGTCTCGCTGCGTGGATATCGGCAAGTACGCCCTGGAGGGAAGCGTTGAGCGACAGTGCATCCACGGCCAGTGGACCGGAAACAAGTCTGTCTGCGTCGGCCTCAACCAGGAGAGCAACTACTCCCGTAAGTGAAATATTTATCTGGAAAGACATTAATTGCTTTTTCGATCACTAGCAGAATCTCGATTACAGCAAACTTGTAACACGTACGAATATGTAAAGTCTTTTGGTATCTATTTCTTCATTTATGGTCCACCTGATGGGGAAAAGGCCTCATGCGAGCTGCCAGTGCTATGGACACGAAGAAGATTACACGTGCATCTTAGGGTTTCATGCGATGTTGCTACGTATATTCATCTAGATAGAATTTCATGTATACGAGAATCTATGTAGATTTCGCCTGGAATTAGAACAGGCAGTCTCATTAAAAGATAAATAAAAAAGGCTTGGCAATTAGCATTTCATTTCAAGCATTTAACTCATACTTTTGAGAGCATAAGAGTTCCACAAGAAAATTAATTAGACACAAGATCAATTTCCTGCCTGTTTGGGGGAGTTATCGCAGCGGAAGCAATTCATTAGTGGCACCACAGACCTCCCTGCACGACAAGGACACCGCTGTAATAATTCGTGAATGAAATTTGCTCGTAAACAAACTCGGTGCCTTGTGGAGTTGCTCGGAGGGCACAAAGAACCCTGGATGGCCCGTGTCAGAGGCAACAGATATGCCATTATTTCTTAAATGATTGATGAGTGAAAGTCTTAAGAGGTAAAGACTTAAACAGGTAAATGGATTTCCAGCAGTGTAGATTTCTTACCATTAGCATTAGCATTTAAAGTCGCTCTGATCAGCATCGCCATTTGATATAGTAGTTGTTTGAAATTGGTGGCGAAAACATGCGAAATTCCAAAGATTTTTTCTGCCATGAGTTAGCATTCCTTCAGAGATAGCGAGCAGCAGTTGTCTTTGCCTTAGATGTTACTTAACTGATTCACAATAATTTATACTCATTGCATGAACTGACATTCATAGGAAGATCTGTTTAAGCAAAGCCAGTAGACACTTGATATATGGATCGCTTCATCTGGAAAATATGCCGTTTCCTAAATCATGACAGATCTTCATGTCTATGTGGTGTTAGTACCTTCATATAAGGTTTTACTTTTTTTTTTTAATTCCACGGTCGTTGATATATGATCCAGCGAAGCAATGTGTCCCACAGCATATATAAAATCATAAAAAGCCAGACTCAACCATATCTCACAAACCGAATAATCTTCCCTTCCCCTCTCCCCCTCTCCTCCTTCCCTCCCCCTCTCCCCTTTCTCCTCCTCCTCCTCCTCCCTCTCCTACCTCCCCCATTCTCTATACCCCCTTCTCCTATACCCCCTTCTCCTTCCCTCCCCCTCTCCTCCCTCTCTTCTTCCACCTCTCCTCCTCCTCCTTCCCCCTCTCCCCCTCTCCTCCTCCCCATCTCCTCCTTCCCTCCTCTCTCCCCCCTCTCCTCCTTCCCCCCTCTCCTCCTTCCCTCCCCTTCTCCTACACCCCTTCTCCTACACCTCCTTCCCCCTCCCTCCCCCTCTCCCCCATCTCCCCCCTCTCCTACCTCCCCCTTCCCCTTCTTCCAGTGGACAAGCCGCCGACCATTCTGTTCCGCAACGAGAAGGGCCCCATGGCGCAGAGCAACGACGGGAAGCTGGTCGTGTACCCTGGCACCGTTCTCCACCTCGAGTGCCTCTTCACCCGCCGCCACGGAACGCCCAATTGGAACGTCTCCCTGGCGAGCGCGTAAGGAGATGGAGGAATGGGGAATGATGAGAGGAATGAAGGATTTGAGGATAGAAGGAAGAAGAAGATATATAGATACAGGATTGAAGGATTTGAGAGGATAGGAGGAGGAATGAGGAATAAGGAGATATATGGATAGTGAGATATTTAGATAGTGGAATGATGAGAGGTATGAAGGACTGAGGATAGGAGGAGGAATGAGGAATAAGGGGATATTTAGATAATGGAATGATGAGAGGAATGAAGGTTTGAAATGTCTCCCGGGCTGGCGCATAAGGAGATGGAGGAATAAGGAATAATAAGAGGAATGAAGGATTGCGAGGTTAGAAGGAGGAATAAGAAGAAATTTAGATAATGGCAGGATAAGAGGAATGAAGGATTATGAGGGTAGAATGAGGAATAAGGAAAAATTTAGATAATGACATGATGGGAGGAATAAAGAATAATGGAGTACCGGGCAGCTGGAGGAATGAGATTTAGATAGCGAAATAATGAGAGGAGTGAAGGATAATGAGGGAGTGAGGAGAGATTTAGATAATGAAATGAGAGAAGAATAATGAGTGATTGCCAGCCATCTGGAGGAATAAGGAATGATGGAATATTTAAGGAGAGGAATAAAGATTAATAAGGGAGTCCCGGTTAGCTGAAGGGAGGATCTTAAGCTAGTTTAATACAGTGTGGTTGTGAAGGTGTTTCGTGAGGATAAAATGTCTGTTTATATGCTATGCAATTGAATCTTCTGGTATATTATTTTTCATTTTTTTTACATGTCTTACGGCTATTGCATCTCAACTTTTAATCTAAGAAAATCCTGGACTTAATGTTACTACTTGTTATTATTCCTCTATCTTCTTTATTATTATTCTATATATTATTCTTTATATTATTCTATCTATCTTTATTATTATTATGGTATATTCTTTTTCTTTTTTTTACATGCAGTTGTCTTACGGCTATTGCATCTCAACTTTAAATCTAAGAAAATCCTGGACTTAATGTTACTACTTGTTATTATTCCTCTATCTTCTTTATTATTATTCTATATATTATTCTTTATATTCCTCTATATAATCCTGAACTTAGCGTCTCAACTTTATCCTTCTGCACCTTTGCGAACTTCTCTTCCATCTCGAACTTAATCCTGCTGCTTTTTATTGGATTCCAGAGGCGACGACATCAAGGGCAAACGCAGGAAGAAGAGCAAGGCCAAAGGGCGAGCGAAGGGCGGCAAGAAGCGGGGAGGGAGTTTCGCGTGAGTAAGAGGGCGAGGGAGGAAGGTTTCGCCTCTCGCCCCGCCCCCTCCCCCCCTCCCGGCGAGAGGGGCGGGGCGCTGTCAGTGATTGGTTTTCTGCTCATCAGAAATATATACAAACATATATATATATATATATATATATATATATATATATATATATATATATATATATATGTTGTGTGTGTGTGTGTGTGTGTGTGTGTGTGTGTGTGTGTATATATATATATATATATATATATATATATATATATATATATATATATATATATATATTATATATATACACACATTTATATAAATATACTGTATATAGATGAAGGACTATTTGCACTCTGTTAATAATTAATGTTTCAACTCATCACCATGTGTGTGTGTGTGTGTATTTAATATATATATATATATATATATATATATATATATATATATATATATATATATATATGTGTGTGTGTGTGTGTGTGTGTGTGTGTGTGTGTGTGTGTGTGTGTGTGTGTGTGTGTGTGTGTGTGTGTGTGTGTGTGTGTGTGCAAAATGCATACGCTGGCATCCGCACAAAAAATTGCCCGCCTCTGCGTATGACAGCGAACACTGACCCATGCCAGCGCAAGGTCTATATAAGTACTTATATAGACCTTGTGAATAATTAATGTTTCAACTCATCACCATGTGTGACCCATGCCAGCGTGCTTCTAACGTACACGACCTATGCCTGACACGCCAAGTGTACATCAGCGTATGCAGCATATGACCCAATTTTCTAAACGTTACTCGTAGGTCGGTCTCATACGCTGTAGTGAGACATCCCCTTAAGGAAATGGCTATGAGTAACTTTCAATAATAAACCAAAAAAAGCCTTTCACTTAAGCTCAAAATCCCTTCAAAGGGTCTATCCGATGACGCACCTCCCCCCTCCCCTCCCCCAGGCCCTACCCCAACGGCTGGGCGAACGCTCCCAACCGCAACATCCAGCTGGAGTACCGCCTCTCGATCTACCGGGCGCAGCCGAAGGACTCCGGCTCCTACGCCTGCGTCACTCCCAAGGGGCACAAGCACGTCGTCACCCTGGACATCCGCCGTGAGTTCTGGTCCAAGGCGTGTGGTGTGTCAGGATATATTGGTGACGGATGGTCCGCACAGCCTTGCTTTCCCATGCTGGAGGATATCCAGCAGATTGTTATCGAGTGGTTTATGTCATCTGTATATCGTTAATGTTTTAGATCGGATGTAAATGCGCCGTAAATTTTATTTTGGGTCCTAGTGTAGACTCTGTTGTTCCTTTTACAATGAAATACATCCTTTCTCTTCCGGGAAATCCAACTTTGGGGTATATAAAATGCCCCACAAATCCACCTTCCACGGCTGAAGGTCGCCTCGTTCTCCCCGCCAGGTGTGCACTGCCCCAACATCAACGTGAACGAGTCGGACAAGGTCGTCTTCGAGCCCAACGAGACCAAGATGAACACGATCGTCAAGTTCTCCTGCGAAGTCGGATACTCCCTCGTCGGCGCGTCGGAGATCAAGTGCCTGCCGTCGGGTAACTGGTCGGCGCCCTTCCCCCGCTGTGAGGGTAAGTCCAGCCCAGCGAGACGCGGCGTTCAGTGTAGGGAGGTCATCATGAACGACACTGATTTGATGAATGATTCAACTAGTTTCAGTCTAGATTAAACGTGAAGCAGTCCCATGTGTGTAGTGTGTGTTCCCTTGCAAAGAGTAGCTCTTTGGTCTTTGTTGTAATCTGTTGTTTCAAAGAAATGAGTAACTGCCATGATTATAATGAGAAGAATGTTAATCCAAAACATAAATGTTCAGAGTTTTATGCTGTTCAGACATGACTGCACCGTAAGTTCACCGTCACCAACACGCATGCCCTTCTGTACACTGTGTTGTAAGCTCCTCCCCTTTTCCATCATTAAAAAGGAAATTGCAGTGTTTCGGGAGATTCAAATGAAGAGGATGCCCCTTGGAGCTAGAGGCACAGATTTGAACGAGAGAGGGCCAAGCGCCTCTGACTCCCGAGACGAACTATCAGTAGAGGGCCGGGACTGAGAAAGTTCATTTCCTTTTGAATGATATTTACTCTCTCTAATGCTATGAATCAATCTGACATTTTCCTGTAACCTTCATACATGTAAATGGTGTTAGATCTGCACTGGACTTGAAGAACCTTTTTTTGTTAATGTTTATGAGTCTGCTGAGAGACCTCCTTCGTGTGAGCACCACTTGGATGGAGAGCACATGCAAGGGAATGCCACGAGGAAGACCGGTCCACGCTCTGTCTGTCAGTGTGCGCCTTGAACCCCTGAGTTGCGTTGGAATCCCCTCCACATTTCACGGCCGCCCGTGAGCATGAGAGACCCCCACGCCCACCCTGCTTATCCAGGTTGCCCCTCCCATGACCCCGCTCTGGCATTCCTCCGTGTTCCCCGGACTCGATTTCCCATTGGTGTCATGAGGCGTGTCGTTGCGTGCTTGGCGTCCTCTCGCCCGCCACCTCCAACATGACGCGGTGTGCGTGGCGGCTGAGGAACTCGTCCCCCTGGCGAGAGCTCAGCTCCTGACCGCCGGCGGGAAAGTGTGCATGACATCGCCGACGTGGAGGCACACGTGTCATGCGCTTGTCTCCAACTTTGGTGTTTCCTCTTCAGCCCCCCCCCCTCCCACCCCTCCCCCTCCCCTTGTGTGTCGTATGCTTCCCTCCCTTCACAAGCGTCCAGGGGCGTTCCAGCACCTCGTCTAAAGCTTCCGTTTTTTAAATGCCAATCTTTTTTGCTGCAGTTAAACGCCACGGCCTAAGACCCCCCCCCCACACCCCCTTTTTAGTGTTGTATAGTTAACTCACCCTGATTGCCCGTGTCTCGTCACTAGACATAGAGTGCCCGGACCCTCGCGAGAGCCCCACTGACCCACTCCTGAGGGTGACGGTCGTTGCGCGGGGCGTGGGCAGCCAAGTCCTGTACGACTGCCCCCGAGGACACCCCGTCAAGGGCCCTACCTCTGCCATCTGCCAGGAAAACGGACAGTGGTCTTCACCTCCTCCCAGATGCCAGGGTACGGCGGCGCAGTGTGTGGAGGGGCGTGGGCGGGAGCTGAGAGGAGGAGAGCGGGCGGGGAGGCGGGGCGTCGGGCTGCACGACCTAGCTCTCAAGGGACACTAAGGCTGCAGCGCTGTTGGAGGGAACGGAGCCAGTGCAGTTATTTTGTACAGAGATGGTTGTAGATTTTTTCTCTTTTTCCCAGTTTTAAATCGTATCTTTTTTTGCACTCAGTAACGTTACTAATCCCACAGTTGTTCCTATAGAGATCTTGTTGAAAATTGATTTATTTTTTATTTGGTGGCTCTCGCATTTAAATTTGTCTCACATACGTGTTAATATTGCCTTGACCATGAGTTATGAAATATCGTAAAACATATTTGCAAATTCTATTGTTCTA